CAATGTGAAGAATTGCCCTGAGGAAGGTGACAGGCGGTCACCGAAACGTCGGCTGAATAAAAGAATTGGTTGACTGAGAAAGAAGCACAAAGAAAAAAAAAGTCTCTTTTTTCCCATATTGTTTAAACAGGTTCCAGAATAGACCTTGGCCACCATGACAGCAAGGCTGCGCTTGCGCTGCATGACGTCATCGCATTCGATGACGCCATTGGCGCGGCGAAGACCATGGTTGACCTGGATGAAACCCTTTTTACTGTGACGGCAGACCACTCCCACATGTTCAGCTTTGGAGGCTACGCGCCCAGAGGAACGCCTATTTTGGGTAATATACTACTATGTTCGTTGTATATTGTGATTTTTAGTATACTGTATATTGCATGTATACTGAAATCAATTTGTCATTTAACTCTATTTATCTACGGATTTGATGACAACAAAGATAACAAAAATGCTATCTTATTAATGGCACCAAAGGACGCAATAGTTCAGAAAGGACTCCTAGCGAAATGCCACTTAAGTGCATCAAGGGTCTGTGCCTTGTACGCATAGCTACAGTTGCAAAACTAGCGAAATTCGCAATAGTTCAGAATGGACTCCTAGCGAAATGTCACCAAAGCGCATCAAGGCTCTATGCCTTGTCCGCAAAACTGCACTTGTAAACTAGTGTATGACTAGACATGACAATGCGATTTGTTATGGATCTGGAATAAACTATACTCAAACTTGCCCAAACGACCTCTTTATGCCGGTCCGACACTTTTTTATTCATCAAAACATAACAAGGACAGTGTGACGCTGCACTAAAGTTCATAACTTATATTAACAGCGCACTTGTACCCGGTTTACTCACCATTGAATGTTGATTGGTCCTTTGTGGTTTAGGTATCGTGCCCGAGAGTGAGGACAACGATGTTCTGGATAACATGCCTTTCACAAACATCCTGTACGGAAATGGGCCAGGATATGGCCTGGAGGGGAGACATAACCTCACGGGAGTCAACACAAGTAATATATGCAATTAGCCCTCGGTCACAAACTTGCAATAAACAACTCATTATAAAACTGATAATTGCTTCAGAAACGACAGCCCAAGATTCAATCAATTTACTTTATGGACGTACAACATTATTTTATCCCCTTGAGTGTGTTGGGGGGATGTGTTTTCATCCATTTAGTGTGATACATTTTCATTAAGTGCTGAGACCAAGCAAGCAAGCCTCCCTTATTGCCATTATCATTTAACATTTCAAAATCTTTGTTCCTTTACAATTAGTTTAATTCTTTACCCAGGAATGTTTCCAGCCACATTCTTTTAGTTTATGCCATTTATCATCGATTACAACAACCCACCAAGTTTAAATTCAGGCATCAATATCGCCATTGCCTTTCACGTGAACTAACACACTGTTCTTGTCGTTCTAGCTGACAAGGACTACATTCAACAGTCCGCCGTCCCCATGAGGTATGAGAGCCATAGCGGGGAGGACGTGTCGGTGTTCTCTGACGGGCCCATGGCGCACCTGTTCCGGGGACTGCACGAGCAGTCATACGTGGCACACGTCATGAAGTACGCCGCCTGTCTGGGGGAGTACGCGGTTAGTTCCAATTCCTCACACGTGTACATTTTAGGCCCCATTCCCGCTAGGATAAAATTATCCGGATCGAGTCGAATTGATTCGCTTTGATCCGGCTTTGATCCGGTTCGAAGCAGGCTTGAAGCCGGATCAAAGCGAATCAGTTACGCTCGATCCGGATAATTTCATCCTATTTTTTTAAAAGGGCCTTACATACACGTTACATATATCGCTAGCATTTCCACGTTAAAGAACATTTTACTCACACACTTACTATCCAAGATTTAATTATTCTGCTTAAGAATATCTCATTTGTGTAACATGTGACGACTGAATGATATTACCAAGTACCAATAGCCAGGAAAGGTACGCACTGCCATGTCGAGGAATCTGACCATTTGAAATGTTGTTTAAAACCTTACTCGGTGCTCAGAATAGTTCGAAAATGTCATATTCTGGCTTCAGTTTGAAACGGCTGCTGACCAGTAACGATACAGCCAAGCTAACGTTAGTACAATATGTTTACTTTTACACCATCATGTCTTTATTAATGTCTGTTAACGTTGTATTTCAGGAGACATGCCAGACCTCCCGTGTCCCGCCCTGCACCACCTCGGCAGCAGACAGGCGCACCTGGAGCGGGTTCGCTCTGGTCAGCACATTCCTCGTCCTCGTGGTCAGGTGCAAGCTGGGTTGATTTGATTGATGAAAGGATCAAGTATTTGTCACATTTCTTTACCACAGCCACTTATTTCTTAGAGAAAGGTGATCTAAAGTTATATTTGAAAGGATATTGTGTCTTTTTATCTTATGTACAAGAATTAGATTTCACAAGGAGGTTTCTGGGAGTCAAAGGTCGTACATGCCCTTTGACCTTTGACTCCCAGGTCACTATCCTTCAGAGTTGAAGAAAGATGGCGTCTTCCGTTTTCAAGTCTCTCCAGGCTGAACCTTCGGCTGTGAGTTATAGTTAATCCTTCATTTTCATGCATACTCAGAGTGTGTGTATTGGCGTAAGAAAGTGTAATATAATGTAGTAATTTGCTGCGGAACTGAAACAAGTAAATGTTACCAGAGACCATGATTAGATCTTGCCTATGCAAAGTGTTCGGATCGGGATACGAATAATCACTACTTAATCACAGGATCTGACGCTGGTCATTAGTCGGTTTGACAGAATTTTTAAGGTCAATAGTATTTTAATTATAGGGTGTTTTGTATATATTCACATCAAGGATTTTGATAGCCATTTTGTTAGTTATCACGACAAAGTAGCATTTATTATTGTGTTTATTTGCTGCTTACAGCTGCTCAACTCTATGGGTGGTGGTATATTAGAATTAATATCCATCAATATTGATACAATTAATGAATTGATAATAATATTCTTAAGGTACATTTTAAATTACGAAATGAGACTTCTAAACAATAACACCCCAGATATGTGATCTCACATTGCATTAGAACAGTTTATTAAAATGATTTTCCAAACGACCAGAGCTTTCGCTAATTATAGAATTAGATATAATGATACGAAGACAAAACGTAATAGATAAACACCAACGGAGCTTCATACTGTACGTATGCTCATGATGTTCCACAAATGACAACTGTTTGGGTTCGCATGTACAAAACGTTTATGGTCCCTCAATATATTTTTAAGATACGATAACAAAAGCGTCTCAAATATACTAACATCAACAGTAATGTCCAATAGTTTGACTGTTAAATAGCAACATATTTTTATATACATCGCCAACATCAGACAACACTGCGGCAGATTACACACAAAAATAGCTCTCTTACAAAATGGTTTTATCTCTGAAGTCCTTTAAGTTGGTATTCTTATTTTATACAACCACAAACGATACGTCACAAAAACTATAGACATCATAGGATTCAACAAACGACTATAGCATTTACATCATATCAACAACATTGCTCGTTGAATCATGTAAACAAGAAAGTAAGGAATAAAACTTGGTAACTGGGAGCACCTTTTACAGAATAGACGCTATTACATAACATCTTTGACTCGTCATAATTTATTTTTTCGCTCTTTCTGACATTTGTTGGAATTCTCTTCACATGCCATACAGCAGGGTTTCAGTGAAGAGAATTAATAAATTCGCCAGACAGAGTCAACCTGCTTCTAATGATCAAGAACGGATCAGGACAAAAACTGGTCAAGCATTTGGAATGACTTTGGTATCGTTAAGATCGATTGGTTACGTTTCAGACCTGATTCTTAGCAAACCCTGCCACAAATTCAATGTCCATAATTTGAAACATATATTTTTCTGCCACGGTAATATTCATATCTATTCAATCCCAACACATCACCCGATTCTTTGTTTGTTTCCAGACGATTGTTGATATATATTACATATAAGCTGTATTTTATTTCCATTCTTCTTCCGAATGAACATCCAACACCATAGACTGTGATATTCGTCAGACATTACACCAATGTCACCACGTGCTTTTATGTAATACAGGACAACGGATAATCTCAGTAACTGATAGTCAATATATTGAAGAATGACAGGACGACGTCTATCACGACTCACCTATCCATACATGTATGTGTACGAACACCATCAAAGACATGTGTACCCTCGTCAACAGAACAATAAGTACAATGCTGCCATTGAAAGTCCGACCGCCATTTGCATCCGTGGTAGCATTGGCAAAACAACTATTTTTTGTTTGCTCATAATATCTACTCTAGGTGCAGTACTACACTGATCATTAATAACTATGAGGGGAAACCATTTCATCTGTGTACGTGTTGTTTCTAGGTTCTGTTATAACGGACTGATTCTTACTGTTTGAAATGTTGGCTTACAAGCTGTTTGCTTTTTCTGGTCGGCTTTGAAAACCCTTCTGTGAAAGAAGAAGAGAATATCTGCGATCATGCTACACAATGCAATTTTCAGCAAGCAAATAAGGCAAGCTAACCTTTGCCAATAACGTTATGGAAACAAAGGCTAAGGATATCAGATTCAGTTTGCACTACTGAGGTCATTGATGTGAATACAATAATAAAACTATAATCAATACTAACAAGTAGCTTCTTGTATAATGTGACTGAGCTCTGGAGTGCAATTGATGTCCGACTTCTCCTCGAGTGGAAACCCTGACTCTTCCTCTGGTGCGAATTTGATTTCTTCCTGAAGCGCCATCCTGTAGTCTCTGTCCTTTGCTGTGGTGTTGGTCGCCACGCAGTTTGTTTGAGTGTCCTCCTCTGTCTCCGTCTGAGACTCGGAGTTAGCGTCCAGGTCGACAGGAGGATGGTGGTTGGCGATGACCTCCTCTGTTGTTGTTGAACTCCCCGATCCCGAGGGCCCTGCCGTGGAGAGCTCCATACAAACCGAGATCTCGTGTTCCTCGTGAACAGACGCCACAGGGCTGTCGTGAGGAGGGGAGCTCTTCGGAAGATCTGGTTTGCCAGGTTCAGTGTCTGTTTCACCAGGTGGCTGTTGTTCTTCTACTGGGGCTACTTGCGTCTCTTCTTTTGATTTCTCTGGAGTTCTTGCTATGTTTATCTCTATAGTAGGTGGAGCGGCTTCCTCCACGGATTCTTTGTTTTCTATAGTGGAACTCTCTGGAGGAGTGAACTTTCGCGAGCGAAACGCACCACGCTTTCTGACGGTCGTGCCAAGTGGGTTCCTACGAGAGGAACTGGAGGCGACGACGTTCTCTCCGTCTATCGGCATCTTAAACTTCACAGCACGCCGATTACGCCCCCCAGCTGCAGCATTTCTTTCTTCTTTGTCCTTGCTCTTCATAGCTTTGTCCACTAAGGATTTGGCCACGGCTAAGGGAATAGGAGCGCCACAGTTGGGACACATATTCATCTTGGACCTCCGTCTCGCTAGAGCGAGTTCTGTGGCTGTGGCTAAAGAAAACAATGAAGACAATTAAAACCAGTAGAAGCAAGACCAGTTCATGAATCACATCAAAGCTCGTATTTCATAATATTGCAGCGTATTAGCAGTAGAGAATGATACATGTTATAGCTTTGTAAGGTCAACTCACATGACGACTTACTTTCTGAAGTACCCTGCAGTGAGTAGAAGCTCTGTCTTCTGGCGCACGTCATTCTCCTCAGCTTGACGTTCTTCTCTGGATGAAGCACTATGATATGAACCTTTGGTAGGAAGATGCAGGCCAGCGTTACCGCTGCACTCATGCTGATCGTGAAACATATTGTAGCAGTCCTCACTTCAATATTGCTCGCTGTAGTGTAATAGATTGGAACGAACGCCAGCCATATGATGCAGATCGTGTACATGGTGAAACCAATAAACTTTGCTTCGTTGAATGCTTCTGGAATCTTCCTGGTCTTAAATGCGTAAAAAGTACACAGGATAAAGAGGGCTATTGGATAGGCTAATCCTATCATGAAGGAGCCGTCTAGCACGGCGCTACAGACAAGCTGTCCCTGCTCTCGTGACGGGAAGTCTGGCTTCGCGATGGGCGGTGCTGTGAAGAGCAGTATCGCGGAAATGAGAATTTGAACGCCCACTAGTCCTAACGTTATCAGCAGCTGCGACTTGGGACTAATGTAACTTGGTCTCTTGGCTGAACGCTTGGCTCTGTTGAAGATTCTGGCGATCCTGTTGGTCTTGGTGAGCAGTGCGGTGTAACACATCGAGAAGCAGAAGCCGACGCCGACCTGCTGGAGACCGCAGACGAACTTGGACGGTTTGGAAATCAGGACGAAAGTCATGAAGAAACAGCAGTAGATTCCAGCAAACAGCACGTAGCTGAGCTCCCTGCCTGATGCCTTCACTACTGGCGTCTCCGCGTTGTGAATGAAAATGGATAAAATTACGGTCGTGCTGACGATGCCAAATATGGAAAAGGTCATTGGAGCAATTGCCCACGGACTGCTGTGCTGCAAGTAATGCAGGGAGACGTTCAGGCATTGCTTCTTCATCTCGTCTGGGATTTTCCCTTGTTCGCACTCCTCACAGGTGAACTCGTCCACCAAGATGTGGTACTTCTGACACGGGATGCAGATCCAGCAGCACGACGCCTCGTTTTGCAAGCTCTTCATCTCCCCGATGCCGCACTCCTTGCTGCAGAAGGAGTCTGGATACGACTCGTTGTCCAGTCGGAATCGTATCATGCTGACGTTCACGTCGAGTCCCTCACTGTAAGACCCGACCGGCACGTAGTCATACACGCCGTCAGAGACCTGCTGGTAGTTCAGGATCTTGTACCTCGGCGGTCCGTCTCCCACGGCGCTAAACTTAAACTTTTGACCAGTGATTCCTGTAAAATTAGATATGAAGATTCTGTAATGATGCATATAATATGCTTATTTCAAGCTAGAAAAAAGTTCATTCTTCGAAGAAACATTATTAAATAAAGAGCATTAAAAAACACACAGTCATGTGCGATCAGTGTGCCGCACACATGCGTATCTTTGAATCGTCTTACTTTATTTTTGAGATGTAAAGGATTTTTCAAAATGACAGCTTATCATGTAGATCTCGATCTAATTGCTATGCCTGTAGTTTTGAATTGTTTTCCCAATAAAATATTCTAATAAATTATCAGGGTAACATGTGAAGCTAGTATTTACCGGTGAACGAAACGTTCCTGATGAACTCCAGCAGTTCCCTCCCCGTAACCCTCCTCATGTCCTCACACAGCCCGCTCACGTTCTTACAGTACGTCCTGTGCACGTCGTCCAGAGCGTGCGCGAACGCCAGCACTGCGTTCACGATGAACTGCAGCTGCCCGTCCTGCTTGTACCCCGTGTGGGCGTTGATGGAGACGTTGGTGTCGCACGTCTTGTTGACGCTGTCGAAGTGGTAGTTGAAGGGGGTGAGCATGCTGCCGGGCCACTTGCACTGGAAGTGCTCCTCCCACAGCTCGGTGAGCCAGGGGTCCCGCCGGTGGGTGGCCGGGTTCAGGGACGCGAAGTACTCGTCGAATCCCTCTATCTCCTGGGCCATGGGCTGGATGGTGATGGCACCCTCCAGCTCATCCTCTTGTCCCTGACAGAGATATAGTTATTTATTATTTATTAGTTCGGCCTACAACAGCCAGGGTTGACCAACCAGTCGTAGACTATTATTAAGAGTCAACACTGGGAAAATTATAGTACATATTACTAAAATAAAATGAAACTTAATATCCTAGGTACTAAACATCAAGTGCTATAATATACAATCACGTGGGGCTAACCATGAGTTTCGGTATTTTTTCTAATAGCAAAACAGTCCTTTATGTATATAGGAGTGAGAAAAGACGTACCGGTCTCATTTGAGGTCAAATAGAAATGTGCTCGTGTACTCAATAACCATTCAGCTTGCTACGTGTAAAATTACTCTATGCTAACCTCATTGATACTTTTAATGGTACCCGAATCCGCCAAACACCAGCCGACCTACCCCTAACTATGGTTGAGGGGCATTCGACTAGTTTAAAGGAAGCCAAATTCGTGAATATGTGACAAGGGAACCATTCTTAACAAATCGGACAATCATACTTTTATTACAGTACTTGGGGCATGGCCATAGAAGCCATGAAATGTGCCTATAGGCACAATATAGCTGACTAGCAGATATTGTTGCACTTGACCATTAGCCTAAGTGTTATCGAAGGGAAAACATATGGTCGATAGAAATGCTTGACCAGAAGTCGAAGTACCCTGACGGCACCATATGGCTGCATCTCAGGTAATGACGATGTAATGCTCGTTCGGTTGGATGGATGTACTAAAGAATTTGTCTTACTGGGCTCATACAAAAATAAAACATACATATAACAGATAACATGTTAAAAACATACATTTGGCACAAAATGAAATTTACATAATATACAAACGAAAGGAACATAATGTACAAAGTAATCATCGTGTTTACACTAAGTTTGAAGAGTTGGTGTATGGCCTTTTTAAAGGTAGATGAGCTGGAATATGTTTTGATTTGTTGTGATCAGTTGTTCCGAAGGTTGATTGCCCGGTAATAAAATGTTGTCCTTTTACGGTTTGTGTTGGGTTTTGGTAGCAAGAAACTGTTGTTTGACGCTAGTAGCGTTTTATTAAAACTTATATATGATCCGCGATATCTGCATGAATAACAACATATTTTCAGTTTCAGTGTTTACCTGTGCTGGAGACTGCCGACTGCTCCAGCCATCACTGCCTATCCACACATACCGCCCTGCAGTGTTAGCACGCTTGGCAGCCCGCATCAACTCAGCAGCGTCCTGGTCAGTACCATACACAATCACCACTGAAACGACACCAAACGCTTCCGTAAGCTACTTCATCTTTTATTGATTTATTTATCTATGATGATTTTCCCTATGTGAGTAGTGAACGGCAAGATGTAACAAGTGTTAAAGGTGTATAACAGGTTGCGAATCTGAGACCCACACACTTGAGGCATCCGTCTTTTTCAGTGTCACCACATTGTATAACATTACCATTTATCAAATCGCTACATCTGCATGCTGGCTGGCACCAAGAGTATACGAATTACAAGAAATTTGCTTGTGCTATTGACTACGTTGTCTCACCTCTTACGGTGTCTTTGGTCCCGAGATCTTTCATAATGTCGTTGAAACACTCGCTACTGGCCATCTGCGAATCTCGTGGGAACTTCAAGGCCAAGTAAATGCAGATGCCTCTTCTCTCAGCCTCCGCCTTAAGCTGTGACAGCCCCTGCTGACCGTAGTTAGAATCCTCGTACACCACGGAGATGTAGGTCCAGTTGAAGGTGGTCACAATGTCCATGATTGCTCTAGCCTGAGGAATGTTTTGTTAATGCAGATTTGAAACTATTTCTTTATTGTTTCTCAAATCCAAACACGCATTGGCAGGGGAGGGCAAAGATATGAATTGCGGGACTTTGTCACAACAATATTGTCTCACATAGCCATGTACATAAACTGTGATGAAGACTGCAAATACAATATAATACAACGCAGCCATTATAGAACCGTATATTAACTGGTTGCAGTACTCTGCAATTCTGAGTATCGTAAAGCGTTGATTATCAATTGTCAAAGTGTACATGCCTTGCGAACATAAGGCATAAATGCAGTCCCATCGGAATTATTGCATGTATGCGTAGCTCGTTTTATAACATGATATAACCATTAGATTTTCTCAAGTGGCACATAGTTGTTACTCTGCTTACCAGAGAGATAAATTATTTTCGTGACCTGCATTTAGTGACAAGGACTCCCAGGTGTTGCCAGATCCCTATCCCCGTGTTTTATATGCAAAGACCGAATCCAAGGGCAACAGAAATCTTTGAAGTCAACGTTAATTTTGTGCATGCATAAAATTCCTTTCGAAGTATCTTTCTCACCTGAAATTCATCAGACGGAACAGTTCGTGAAAAGTAGGGGAACCGTTTCTTGATGCTCAGCTCAGGGCTGGTGGACCAGTAGCTGATCTGCAAATACAATACAACATAAGGATTATTTATAGCATATATATACATATTTATAGCAGATATAGCCTCGTGGCAACAGCAAATGGCACTGCAAAGAGATAACCAGTTTGTAGTCCTAAGAGCGTCTCTGACACGATTAATGTATATAGCCCTTGGAGTAGATGACGAGATCGCAGACATTCTAGAAAGTCTACATCTGTTGACTGATAGATGTGTACGTGTCCATTGACCATGGACAGAAGTTCTCTTTTTCTTTCAAGACATAATATATGCCCCTCTTTGCGGATATAGCAGTCACCAATCCGTTTTCTTGAAGATGATGACCGTAAGGTTCCAAAAGCAGCAGATCGTATCAATCTCATTACACAAACGCTATTTATTTATTTATTTATTTATTTGTTTATTTATGAAGATTTACCACATTTGTGGAAGGATTGACATAACAGGTGACTATCACCTTTTCAAAGATGTCAACCCCGAGACCAGACTGTAAGGTTTGAACCACTCACACCGGGAAGGTCCCCTACTCTTTTCGATAAGTGCGGTGGGTTCTTTAACGTGCGTGGGGTATGGCTCTCCCAAACACGGGACCTCCATTTAACGTCCTATCCGAGGGACGTCCCTAGCCTAAGCTAGGTACTCATTTTCACCTGAGTGAAGTGAGGAAAGTCGTGTAAAGTGCCTTTCCCAAGGGCACAAGATCGGTGACATGGGCAGGGTTCGAACCCGCGACCTCTCAGGTGTGAGCCGAACGCGCTACCGACTGCGCCACACGACCCCACGTCGTAGCTAACGGCTATTATAGCATTATGGCACTAAAGCGCTTCACATTCCCCCAAGCACATATATAAATCAGCATCTGTATAATCTTGAACGACAAGAATTTATAACCGTGGACTAAAAGCTGTAAAAGTTGGCTCGAGATCGTGCCTGTTTTGTCGTTCATGACACGCTCCTTCTGATCGATCACCGTGGCATGGCGCCCTATCTAGGAAATTAAACAGCAGTCGATGGAACCATAACCACCGTGCTTAGCCACATAAAATGTTTCAACCATGCAGCAACGCAATATGTCACTGGCACTGGAACGGACGATAGATCATAGATACAACTTATTGAGAGGTCATTAGAGTCACATCTAAGCACTGGTATCGACCGTAGACGCTCGGCATCGGAACATTATCCAACCGTTTCATCTAGATCTGTGACCGTATTCTCACAATCGAATTTTGGCACTTATATATACGTCTTATCTGTGAGTTTTGGAAGCTATCATTGTAATAACATGAGTGTCTCTGCATCTTGATCAACCCAATGTTGCTTTGTATGCCATCCCTGCACTTAGATTGACAATACTAGAGGCTATGTAAATTTGCATCTTGTAATCCTGCAATACTACAATTTTTTCAATATCAGTTTGGCTTGCATAACTGAAGCATCCATTGATAGAAATTTCACAAGGCCCCTGAGACAGGCACAGATTACCTTTAGTTAGGACCCGTCCTGCATACCAACAAGCATTCGTATTATAAACCTGATAAAGAATAGAGGCAATAACGATGCCCCAGTCTCTCATAAAACGCTAATGGTAGACCAGATACTATATGAGTAAAATAACTAAGGCTGTAACAACGGACAGGCAGATGCTTTCGGCCATTACTGGATAATAAAATGGAAACAGGCCATTTGCTAGAGTGGGCACCAGGTAAATTATGTAGTGTGGATTCTTTCAAGCCATAACAAGATATAATACATGTCATGTGACAGAGGCCATGTGTCAAAACTGAACACTCATGGATAAGCTCAAACAATTGGGCTATCTTCCGACATAACTGCACACCAAATCGATGTAGCTACACTAGAGTTACAAGTGCAGAAACACAAATAGCTTCTTTCACAATAAATTGCCCGGCTCACAGTGAGTTCTCATTGCATATAATCAATAGAGGGTAACCTCTACTTGAGCCCGATAGCACGGGAGACTAGCCAAACTGAAAAGAACAGTTTCCATATTTTCTTGTGATTGCTTCAACTTGGTGAGACTGCGCTGTATCAGCAGTGGGCTGATGTTGCTGTAGGAATACAAAACATTTATGTATACTACGTTTTGCTGATGCTAAAAAACGCACCTGTCTTGGGTCTCATAATGTAACCCTCCCCTGTCCGTTTAATAGTCACCTGGTCGCGCCATTAGATTAACATGAGTACCTCAACCTTTCCACATTACCTTTATCGAGTCACGGAAAAGCCTGGCGAGGGATAGTAATTTATTTTGAGCCTTGGGACCAGCCAATATTTGTTCTTGACACTGTGCATCATACCCAAATCAAAATCAATATGCGAGTGTGAAATAGTGCACACAAATGTCGGAATGCACATATTGTAAAACATTTTCCTACCTGTACCGTAAATCTAGATACCAGTAGGTAATCCAAACTTTATTCTTTGACTTTTTGTATTCAAATATAGAACGAAAAATTCATAACGCATTTTGTTCACTTATTTTATGGTGATGCCCTTTCTTACCTAAAGCAACAGTTGTAAATAATGAGGGATTTAACCAGTACTTCTCTTGCTGTATGAACGGATCAAATACTGCAGCATGAGTGATCTTCCAAACGCGTTTTCGTCGATCAGAGTTAACGCTTTCGGGCGTCTTGCAGATCAGAAGGCAATATTTGCACAGCACATTATACATTTTACCTTATTCAATGACCATAATCATACATCAAGAAGTCGCATTGCATATCTTTCTATGAAAGTTGTGTACGTGCCGTACATGTTCAACTTACTTTTTCTCATTTAAGATAAGCTAACTGCTCAATGTGTTATGGAACAGGCATCATTTATCGTAAATGTCATTTTGGAATTTCAATTTCCTTTACGTTACTTGGAATCAACTATAATCAACAGCATGGTAGTAAGATTCCATTAGACTTGCTTAAAATAATATTTGTCCTGGTCAGTCGTGGTAAGGAGCTACATAATTTCACAGCACTAACTATGGAGTGAATCAGATATATAGGATCATATCGTGAATGTTGTTTAAAGTTGTCCAGTATGCGAATACAGTGATTGAGTGATTCAAAATCCTTGACCGACATATCTTTGAGAAGAAATATCTGAATAGCTTAGAACACCAAGTAACTATGATAATTAATAAACTATTTAGAGAATCCTTACTGCACCGAGCCCCAAAGAAACGTTCTAAAAGCCTCTTTCTTCAAAGCTGAGGTTGAGCACCACCCACCTAATGGTAGCAGTGAGGGCACGGGTACAGATGTGAGTAGGGAGGCTTTTTGGCTAGACATGAAAGCCGTTTACACATTAAGCTGCTGGTATACATCCATCATGATGCTGGGATCACCAAGGGGAACTGACGGGGAAGCACGACTTCATTCCAGCACAAAACACAAACTGTGTTCGCCATGGATCAGAATTGTCGTGACAGAAGGGACTAACATCACATCCAAAATCATATTCAGTTGCTTGAGTAACTGCTTTTTGGTGTAACATCACATAACCATCTCTTCGCTTCGGTTTGCACATGAATGACTATCAGTTACAGCAATCAGTGTATGGACACATTTTGGCTGTGAAACTATTGTCAACGTTTCGCATCTGGTCACCATTGCCCGTAGGCTAATTGCAAGTACATGTAACATGAAAAGAAAGGATGGACAATGGATAACAATATAGTATGTGACTACTAAACACTACATTCAAACCTATTGGGTTCGACTTCTTTTTCTGAGACAGTGGAAGACGAATTATTCCACTTTTTTCTATACTGTGTGGGTTTTGTGATGAGAGTAGTTTCCTTTTTGTCTACAAACGTGGAGAACTTGGAACGTGGGATGGAATTTGGTGGTACTTATTTCGTAATCGAGATAATTCTAAATGTAACAACGTATTGTGTTCTCATCACTCTCAAATGGAATCAATTTCATTTTATGAGCCTCAAGAAGGAACAATCAGTAGTCCCACGGCAGCCATTTCCGCCTGCGTCTTTATACGACACGCTCTTCGAACATATGCTTTATCTATACATTGTAAATCATATAACCGTTCATAAAAACATTTATTTCCTTGGGAATACCTTTGAAAATGATTTGCACACCAGCCAACCTATCTGGTTGAGCTGCTTCACGTTAATGTCTCCACAGTGAGAATTATCAGATGTAGACTCGGTTATGTTTTTCAACAGATACATTTGGCTTTTGAGGTATGTCATGCCCAGGGCTGACGTTATATGTGGACATGATATAGTCGAAAATTGTCTCTTTTAATGTGCTTACCGTTCCCCTGCTCTGTGCGACACTTTCAACTGCAGCATTTCTAAAGACGATTTTGAAAGACATTTAGGCCCCAGAAAGTAAATTCTATGGATGACATCCTGCGCGGATTCCGGACTTCAAATCTAATGCGAGCGGGCGAAAAAAACAACACGGGCCGAAAAAACAAGGTTCCTACATTTTAAAATTTTGTCTCAAACATTGTACAAATGGTTTTGATTGAGTGGGAACATCACATATACACAGCCAGCATCCCATATCACTACATCAAAGAAAGTAACAAAACATTAAATCACAGCCTCTTCTTGTGTCATCCCCTAGTTATCTGCCATCCACCTTCCGGCATGGCAACAGTCATCTTTACCCATTTTCGGCATGTTGACAACTGTCAGAAGGCAACAAAGTTTCTCTTTTTTTCCAAAATCAGGCGAAAATTAATGCGCGCGCTGATGTCATTCATAAAAATTAGTTGCTGTGGCCTTATTTGCCTCCTTGAAACTGGCAAATGCATGCAACATCACTGTAAACGCACTATAAGCAGCTAAGACGCCTACTAGACATAACGTTTCTCTGCAAAGTCAACTTTGTAATCCTTGAGGCGTTTTGGATGTTGGTTACAACGCCAATAAGTAGTTACTCCGCAGACTCACGGTAGTGTATAGTCCTTCTAATGGGCCAAGCCACTTTAGATAGCATAACGTCTGC